GGATAATTGATATAACCATGTAAAAGCGTGTGAGGGCATGATGCCTGATGTGCGAGCGCGTTCCCACGACCATTCGTCTTGTTCCACCTGAGAAGTGAAAAAATCAACACACGCTTCAGACGCAAATCTTGGATTAAAATTATCTATCTATCTGTTCATCTCTATCCCTCTGTATATACATGCACGCGGATGGGCTAGTCATAAAGTTATCAGAAAATTTTGTACGGTTTTATCAGATCCAGACTTAAATTAGAGGAACAAATAACATCGGTGCCATAGCGCCAGTAAATAATGCGCTTTCTTTTCTAGTTGATTGATTAAATGTGATTATTTCAAGTTCAGGCCATTAACAGAAGGTCTCTTCCGAAGAAACTATTCAAAAGAAAGACATGCATACCTCTTTGCTCACTCAGATTGCCTCAAAGGGTCTGAACTGCTGATCAGGCTTGCGTAGAAGTCAGCACTCAAGAAACGGGTCAGGTTTCGTGCTCTGACGATTTATATCTTAAAGGATCGTCGCTTGCACGATCAGTTGAACAATCAATGACAATACCCTTCGTTGCTTGCTGCTTAGAATTTTCTTCTTCATTCATCTTCATCTTCCATCGCCGCTTCTCCTTTCGGGTCGCGGAGGCAGACACGTCAGACAGAGCTTCCAATGTTTCCGATCCTGTGCCAGAGTCTGAGCTTCGGCAGAAGACAACTGGAGTCGGAAACAGACTCCTTCCGTATATTTGCACCAGATTAATCTTGGCCGTCCCCTGGGACTTTCTGCAGATCGGTTGGGCAAGAAACAGTAGCTTAGCCTTCCATTCTGGAGGAATTCGCAACACACACCCAAACCATCGCAGCTGTGATTTCTCGATCTAGAGAAGCAGAGGCTGGACACCAAGGCTCTCCCAGACGTCAGTATTCCGGGCAATGTCCAGAGGACTAAGTCCAACGACTCGTCTTAGAAATCCCATTTCAGCCGCTTGTACCCGCGCTGCGTAGAATACTAGACGAATATCTTGAGGGGCGCGTTTCTGAAATTTACGATTGTTTCGTTCAGCTGTCTAAGGAATATATCCAGAACTTGAGCTACGGACTTCGTCGTTCTGCGTTCTTAAAATTAAGTGAAAACATGTTATTGTTTGCGATCGAAAATAAATCAATCGCCAATTGGTCACTAGAGTAGTTAAATAGTAGACAATGCTTTCCACAGTCTTTCAATATGACAGAGTGAATTTTACGCAGAGCTGAAAAGTGGATGATTGTTTTCCACCAATTGTGGGACCATTTGACTTCGTCAAATTCATCTGTTGTAGAACTGTTGACATAAAACTTCAATTTGAATCATGTCTAATTTGTCAGTCTGTCAGTAAGTCAGTCTATTCGCCAGCTTCGATGGTCACTTGTCGTTTTCAGTCGTGAAGACGGCAGCGTCAGGTAGACTCTTCAGTGTTTTCGATTCTGCGCCAACGTCGAACCTTTAGTAGAACAAGAGCACGGCCCGATTCAGGTTGCTTTACTTCTTTGTTGTAACTTCGAATGTGACAAAGTTTCTTGTCGTTTTCGAGGGACTGTTAATATTGTCACTTGTCAATTTTTTGTGAGTATTTATGGGTAAAAAATTTCTATATTCATCAAAACATAAACAGGCGATGGTACGCTGGGACTTGGCTAAGAGTTTTGACGCCCAACCGTCTTTGCAAGCAATTTTGCCCAAGAAACGTGTCGAGAAGAAAATAATTGATCTGAGAACGACTGCCTTTGCAACCAGCCAACGTTGTACAGATCAGCATTAAGCGATGTACG